AGCTTCAAATCCTGGGCTCAAAAGATCCTCCTGCCTCAGCCTCCCAAGTAGCTGAGACTATAGGTGCTCACCACCACACCCAGCTAATTTTTCTATTTTTTTTTGGTAGAGACGAGGTCTCACTCTTGCCCAGGCTTATCTTCAACTCCTGGCCTCAAGAGATCCTTCTACCTTGACCTCCCCTGCAAAATGTTAGGATTACAGGTGTGAGCTGGTATGCCTGGCTAACACTGCTTTTCTAAGGCTAAAGACTCATAGGTTGCTATTTTTTTTCTTTTTATGTCCCTATTATTTCCTAAATTATGCATTATAAATACGTTAAAAACAAAAATTAAAAATTTAAATCTACTTACAATAATGTTATAAGAATTTGATCAAAACTTTATCCCTTTTAAAATAAAGCTTTGAAATCTCTTAGATCCTTAGAAGAAAAGCAATTTAAGTACTGATTGCATGTATTTGGAAGCAATCTGAAGGAAATGCAGCAATGCCAAGCCCTGATACCATTTTCTTCCAGGTCTATTGTTCATAAGAATCACCTGGATGTTTTGCTAAAATGCAGATTCCCAGGAACTTGCTGCTAGAAAATCATTCTGTAGGTCTGGGATGGGGGCCCAGTGATGGACATTTCTGACATTCCCCACCCATAAGAGTCATTGATGCAAGTGGCCAACTTTGAAAATTACTGGTTTAAAACAACACTGTAATGAAAGAGTGAGGGTTGGCAAAATATTCAAAGTGAGGCATTAGAGATCATCTAAATTTTAATTCTCATATTTCCAGGTAAGAATTCTGAAGGCCAGCTAGGTTCAGTGACTTGCCTGAGGCCAGAGCTGGATTATAACTCAAATTTCCTAATTCTATGAACAGTCCTTTGTCTACTCATCAACAGCACAATGCTTCCTCCTCTAGTCTAGGGTCAGGGGGTGCTCTCCAGGTGATTCCTTCACAAATCCAGCTTCCTCCTTGATGCGCGCGCACACACACACGCACGCACGCATGCACGCACGCACACACACACACACACACACACACACACACACACACACACACACGATACTGAATGCAGCCCTCTAAACAATGTTTAATGCCCCCATGAGCTGATGTGCCCCCTAATTGTAAATATAAAATGTTTAATGTGCTGCTGACTTGACTTTAAGCAGAGTAAACAAAGCAGGGCATTTATCATCATTTCTTTTTCTCTTAAATCCACTCATCTTTACTTTGAAATTACTGTAGTAACCTCCAAAAAATCCTACTAGTTAATCCCTGAGTGCCAAAACATTCTTCCTAGAGAAATACTTTCACTAAGCATTTTCCTATTCAAGAACCGACAATGGCTTTTTAAATGCAAACACATTAACAGTTTTTATTACTGAAACCGTAAACATGTACAAAAGTAGACAACAGTATAATTAACTCCCGTGTTCCTATCACTAGCTTTGATAACGATCAGAGAGATATCTGGTTTCCTTGAAAGTTCCTCCACACACACACACTCACAGATTATTCTGAAGCAAAAGCCAGAGAGCCCACCATTTTCATTCATAAACATTTTGGTATATGCCCCTAGGAGAAAAAACTCTTTAAAAAAACAAGCAAACCATTAAGGCTAAAACTATCAAACCTAAAAAAAAAATTTGAATTTCTCCAATGGTTTCTTTAAAAAAATTTTTATAAGGTGTTTGAATCAGAATCCCAGCCATGTATTTCCATTGGTTGTTACAGTTTGAGTCTTTTAATCCTTAGATTGTCTACCTTTCTTTTTAAATATGACTTTTAAAAATATTTTTAAATTGAGGTATAATATACAATACAGATTTTAAGTGTAAGTTGGATGAGTTTGGGTAAATATATATGCCTGTGTAACCACCTAACAGAGATACAGAGCATCATTTCTCAACCCAGTAACTACCCTGCCCCCAACCACATTTCCAGATAATTTCACCAGGGAGTACCTGGCACTACAATTCTTCTCACCATAGCTTAGTTTTATATACTAGGGCTTTTTAAAGTTTCTCCAATGAAGGTCCAACCTCTCATTGTAGGCATCCAAGGGTCCTTCATAATGAATGTCTTGGCTTCATCTTGCCTGTGGGAATTTTACCAATCACTCCCTCAACTCAGTTCACTCTGTTCAAAGTGTTCTTATGACTTAACTACTCCCAACCCTGTGCTCTTCTTCTTTAGTAGGTTGTTCTATAGGCCTGGAATTTCACCATCTTTTACCAGTTAAATCCTAACCATACTCTTTTCAAGGTTTGCCCAAATTCTATTTCCCCTGTAGTTTTTTTCCTAAAACACCATTCCATAGAGGGTTTTTTGGTTGGTTTTCTTGGTTTTTTTCAGACAGTCTCACTCTGTTGCCTGGGCTAGAGAGCCATGGTGTCAGCCTAGCTTACAGCAACCTCAAACTCCTGGGCTCAAGTGGTCCTCCTGCCTCAGCCTCCCAAGTAGCTGGGACTACAGGCATGTGCCACCACACCTGGCTAATTTTTCCTATTTTTAGTGGAGACAGGGTCTGTGTCTTGCTCAGGCTGGTTTCGAACTCCTGACCTCAAGCTATCGTCCCACCTTGGCCTCCCAGAGTGCTAGGATTACAGGCATGAGCCACCACCACACCCGGCCCACAGAGATCTCTTTTATTCTATCATTGTCCTATGGCACATACTGTTCATACTAACATATGCCCTGTCTCTCTCTTTTCAGTTTCACGTGTGTCTCTTCAATGAGAATGTAAACTCCTTGAGTCCATTCATGCTATGTTCCTATTGGTGGCCTCTCCAGTGCTTAGAATAGTGCTGGGTAATAGAAAGCCTTTTACAAGTGTCCATGTAATTCAATTTAAAGTCATGAAGATTATGTTGAGGCTAACTACTAAAGCAGAGAACAGCATCAGACGCTAAACTAACTTTCATTTGTCAAATCAGAGGGAATTTGTCACCTGTATTGCCAGAAAATGTTTTTTGAATGGTGCTGAAACTCTGGTTGGTCTTGAATGGCCCATAAAGAATTACCTGAATTTGACAAGGATCCATCTGTAGTTGCAGGCACCACATAGGATAACACATGCACCAGCACTAACTCTAACAAATGACTGTTGTGCTTGAGCAAAACAAAAAAGGTGCAGCCAGGAAAGACAAAATTAAAGAGGCCAACGAAGCAAAATTCAGTGGTCTCAGCCCTGGCTGCCCTTTAGCCTCACCTGAATTAAGGATGGGCTTTTACACTATATAGATACAATAAAGTACACTATCTGCAGGTTGGCCCAGGCATCAGGTTTTTTTGTTTTGTTTTGTTTTGTTTTTTAAACCTCTACCCAGATGATTCTACTGTGAAGCCAGGATTAG